ACCGTGGCGGCTTCGACAGTGCAATCGACTGTTATTGCCCACACCGCCACTACCCACGCTTCGGTCATTCAGACTGTCAACCACGTGATTCAGGGTCCACAGACCAAGCACATTGCTCACATTGCACCTTCCACGTCCAGCCCTGTGCAACTTACCACTGCTGCTCAGCCTATCGGCCACATCACTGTGCACCCAGCCACCATCAACCACATGGCCCACCTCGGCCAGCAGCTGCCCATCTACCCTCAGCCCGTGGCCGTCAGCCAGCCCGTGGTGAGCCATATTGCTCACACGATCTCGCACCAGCAAGTGAATGGAACCACAAACCTTGGCCAGCAAGCAGTGATGGCCAAGCCTGCTGTAGGAACCCAAGTTGTCCATCACCCGCAGTTAGTTGGGCAAACGGTCCTAAATCCGGTGACTATGGTAACCATGCCATCGTTCCCAGTGAGCACACTGAAGCTGGCCTAGAGGGGATCGTCTGACGGCGAGGTCTTTGTTGGGAACCTTTCCTAAACTCCATACATTCCAACCACGTCCGACTCTGCGGGAGGGAAGTGCAGAAAATGCCGAGTGGCAGGACGCCGGGCTGGGCTGTCCTCAGCCGCCCAGTAACCAACCTGCCGCTGGCAGCAAGAGACGGGGCCTCTCTGCACTTGAATTTTGCTAATCTGAGAAAACTTCAAAGACAGTTGTTCATGGTGATTTTTTTTCCTTTTATGTGTAATCAGTGAAATATGGATATGATGTTCTTAAGACTTTAATTTTCCCCTTTTATGTGTTGCTTCTTTGTAGAATAAAAATTGCTGATCTCTTTATTGAGACATTGCGTAGAATGGGAAAAAAAATCATAGAAGTCTATATTTCTAATCTGAGAAAACTTCAAAGACAGTTGTTCATGGTGATTTTTTTTCCTTTTATGTGTAATCAGTGAAATATGGATATGATGTTCTTAAGACTTTAATTTTCCCCTTTTATGTGTTGCTTCTTTGTAGAATAAAAATTGCTGATCTCTTTATTGAGACATTGCGTAGAATGGGAAAAAAAATCATAGAAGTCTATATTTATATATATGTGTGTATGTGTGTGTATATATATGTATATACATATATATAAATATAACATTTGAAGAAGGCCTTTTGTAAGGTTGTATTTTGCATGTATATATATGTATATACATATATATATAAATATAACATTTGAAGAAGGCCTTTTGTAAGGTTGATTATTTTGCAGGATTATTAGACAAAATTCATTTTTGGAGGAAGAAGACAGAGTGTCCTCTCTAAACAAGAAACTTTAAGATGGCTGGTTTGGTGGACCAGGGTACATATACAGTGACAAAAAAAAAGAAAAAAAAGTTAAACCATGTTAAAGGTATTTCCCGTCAATATATTACATTTCAAAAAAACATCTAAAATCACTGTGACTTGTTACGGCATTTTAAGGAAATTCTCTGTCCTGTCTAATAAAAGGAAAAAGAATACACAACTGGACTTCATTTGTTGCAGTTTTATAAATGACTTGATTTTTATAGCTATGTCAAAAAAATAATGTTTTTTATTATTTTAATGGTTAACAATGTTTTGTTTGGATGGTTTTTTGGGGGATTTGTTTTTTGTTTTGGCTTCGTTTTGCTGATGCAATAATTGATTTTGCAGATCTCTGTGCATGGCACTCCCCCTTTCAGGGTTCCTCCTGCCAGTCCCAAGCCCCCAGGTTTCTTGGGTTCGTTTTTGTTTTGCAGAAGCAGATACTTGTGCTGGCAACTTGCAATATGTTTATCTGGCCTGGTAGAGCGGAACCTGGGACAAGAAGACGAACAGAAATTAAGTAGATTTGCTGCATGGGTTACTTTTCTTTGTTAGTTTGCTCCTGAACTGACCACGTTTTAGTGTGGGAGTCAGTGGATTAGAAAAGGGATAAATGTGCATGTGATATCTTCCAAAGTGCAAACAGTTTTGACATCTTTTTTTCTTTGGGGGAAAAAAAAATCTAGTCTTGTATGGGATAACGGTATATTCCAGGAGATCAGTATGTATAACTTGTGTCTTACAGACTACAGTGAGACGTGCACCAAAGAACAACCCCTCATGCTAAGTGACCCTCTTGTTCACCCTTTCCAGTGGTTAGGTCAGATCTCACTGAAGTCAATGGCAAACTCCCACGGGGTCACGAGAGGAGGGATATTGTTTGGCTCTGCGGGTTCTTGCCCGCCTGCCCGGGAGGTTGCTTAGGACGTGTTTCATTGCTGACTGAATATTCTGGTCTTTGCACCGTTTTGCGTGTAGTACTGCTATTAATGATCTCTTTTCCGTCTTCCTGTCTTTTTAAAAACAAATACTCCGCAGTCCTTAATGCAGGCAAAATTCCTGCTGTAGCCAGCGGACGTTTTCCTTCGGGCAGGATGGGAGGCTGGTCCCTGCTAGCGTCTGACCGGGTACGCTTTGGAAGTGACACCCATTCAGAGGAGGAGGTAAGGTGGGGCTGAGCGGTCACACCTTCGCTGTGCTGGCTGGCTACGTCTAGTTTTGGGTCGAGATCTTCCACAGGAAAACATGATCCATAGTCTGCCCAAAATGCCTGTTGACTCCAGCAGGACTTTTGCCTGATTGTGGATTGCTGTGAGCAGTGGCAGAGGTTTAATTATGAAAACTTGCCAGTTCCGTACCGTCCATGCTATGGTTGGAACTGTGCTGGAGGCAGGAGTAATTACTGCAAACAGAGATCAAGCGTGATTGTGCCTTCTGAGCAGACATGGCTGAGAATTGCATTAAATCTGTTTATAAAGCCCTGGGTTGCTCCGTAGTTAACACTTCCCCCCCCCTTGCCCCCCCCCCTTGCATCCTTGAGTCCAGGAAGCTCTTGCCTGTGTTGGTAGCACAGTTTCTACAGCAGAATGGAGAAATCTTTAAGGATTCCTTATCCTTAAACCAGATTTAAATAGATTGTTTTTCTCGCTGCTAGTGCACGATTAACACTGTGGGGTTAGCAGAATCGCCAGGGCTTTATCGTCTCCTTGTACATGCGGGTGCTTTCCCAAGAATGTGGTGTTTTGTGTGCCAGTATTTTGGAGATCAGCATTAGATATCAGGACAGTTGCTCCTCATCAGAAACTCTTGAAAACTGAGTATATTTGCAACAGGGTCCTCCCTTCTTAGGAGGAACCACGTGGCTTTGCCTTCTGTAGCTGCGTTAGGAGGGGGAGGAAGCATCTTTCTGTCTTCACTGTTCCAACTCACAAAATAACAAAATCGAGGCGGGAAGCCTCATTTCTAGTCAAGAGTGGCTGAGCTTATTGAAGGAGAAAAAGCCCGGATTGGGAAGCGGGACTCGGCACACGAGCATTGGCCGAGAGCCCCTCCGTCCCCCCGACGTCGTTCCCTGTGTGCCACGTTGGCAGGAGCTGCGGGATCAGCCTGCGTGGGTTGGTCTTGCTCTTCTTACATGCAGTTTTGCATGGTGGCTTACTTTCTGCATGGAAAACTCTGCTCCCACCTTAACCCCATTGGCTTCTTATCCCAAGATAGATACTGGTAACTAGCAGTGACCCAGGCATACAGCTGCTCAGTGTTTTCCACAGTAAAAAGTGTATGGGATGGAGAGAAGAGTTCCTGTTTTATTTGATACAGGTGAATGAGCTTTCCGGTGGATTATTTAATGGCCTTTACTGCATGGACAGGTGATGCTGCTGACCTCCTCATCTTTTACTCCCTTATGGTTTAGAGGTAACAGTGTCACTACCCTGCTCATGTACAAGTCCCGCATCTTTGCCAGTTTTTCTATCCCCCTTGGAGTTCTGCAATGCCGTTATGTCTGAACCCCTTCATCGGTGTTAGCCTCCACTTGAAGAACAGCTTGTCCCGCTCGGCCAGCCCGTAAGCGGGTCCGGACGTCTTGGGTCCCCCCGTTCTCATCTGCCTTATCCACGGCTACCAGAAACATTTCTTTGGGGTTTTTCTGTTTGTTTTTTTAAAGTCAGCAAACTTCTTTCTGTTCTGTGGGGAAAAGAGCAAACCGCAGCCCTTCTTTCCCCACGTCTGTCATTCCTGCTCAGAAACTTCGGATTTACGCTAATGCTCTTAGAAATCATGTTCAGTACTGTATAACAAGGGGCACTTTAGAAATGTCTCTCCTCCTTTGATATATGTGTTTTCCCTATGGAGAAAGCTATATATAAATATATATATATATGTACACTTTGGGATTCAGAAGATCTAATTTGTCCCAAAAAAATCAATAAATATGAAGTTTACAAGAAATCTTTTCTGTTGTTGAATAATATTAGTTATTGGTAACCATACTACAGAAAAAAATAGCAAATGGGTTTTCTATGTAGTAGTTTTGAGAAGACTTTTCTGTCCTGTCAAGCCTGACTCAGAGCCCTTAAGTTAGTGGAGATGCTTCCACCGAGGGCAGGCTCTGGGTCCGTCACCTGCGGTGCTGTGCTTCCCGACCTCGCGGCCTGCATGCTCCCCATGGTTCATGTCACGCTACCAACAGCAGAAACGTGCTCAAAAGCTTGATCTGTGCTTAAAACTTCAGCCAGCGCAGTTGTGTTTTTGAAATAGACACCAGCAGATCTGTGTGAGCAAAAACCCTCGGACAGCTACAGTTACGTGCAAAAATACTCTTGCTTGCACAGCTTACCCAGGCTGGGGAGCTGGATCGTGCTGTCCCAGCAGACAAGCAGTTCTGCTCTTCTGTGCTGAGCCTGCCTGAGGGAGCCCCTGCGGCTGCCCCGGCATGTGGCAGAGCCGGGTCGGCTGCCGAAGAGGAGCGGGCTGGCGGCCGGGCACGTCCACTGCTTTGCTTCAGGCCGCTTTCCGCTCTCACCTGCCAAGTAAGTGCAGGCAGAGAGGAATAAACCCAAACTGCTACTTTAAAATTATCCTGAAAAGAATTCTTACAGCTGACACTTTAGATATGGGAATGTACTCCTGACCTCACTAATAAAAATTAGCCAGAACCCCATAGTTTAGCTTAGGAAGGGAAACGACCCGATTTCCCACGTTCTCTGCAGTCGCTTGAATGGGGTCCGAGAGGCAGTGGGTCGGGTCGGGCATCCCTGTGCATGTGTGTGTTGGTGTGCGCGGTTGATGCCATCTGTGTACGCTTCGCTCTCCCACAGCAGGAGTTGGAAACAAGGTGTGTGTGAGACTGTTCTCTCCGAACTCCTCGGTCTGGTGATGGCACCGGCACCAGCCAGTCACCGCCTCTTGCTGTCCCCCCCGCCTCTTGCTGTCCGGTGTTTGTGGTGGTCCTGGCTGGAGCCGCCTCTGATTGCTCAGGATTTCTAAAACCGATCAAAACAGGTGGGGAGGTCGAGGAAGAGGGAAGAGTTTAAAAAAGGCAGACAAATTACCAAAAGTTATTATAACCATTTTTTGCATGGTATCAGGTGGACAAGCGGTAGGAATTTTTGAATTCCCAATTAACGAGCTGGGTTTTAAGGCCCTGCTTAGGGTTACACTCCTGTCCTAGTACAGGGTAAGGGATTGTCTTGGCTGCAGAAACCTTGGTGTTATTCAGAGTATCAACAGTCTCAGTCGTGCCACCGCCGCTGGGGACACGGTGACTCGTGCCCAGAGCCAGGGCTCCTGCCGCCAGCACCTCCAGCTCGGCCAGTGTGCTGCGGCGGTGGCAGCTGCCCAGGGCCACATCGTCAAGTCTTGACTCATACCTTTCTCAGGCAAAACCCACGCTGATCTCAGGGAAAGACTGAGGAGAGACTTGAGGATGCCGGCGGCTGCTGCCTGCTTCAGAGTGGGGCACGGGGCATGCAGTGCATCATGTGCAGCCCAGCTCCCAAAGTTGAAAATGTCGTGCAGACTGCATCATGCCGTAAAACAAATCAT